TCCCTCCCCTCTCGACATGTATGGTTGTGCGACTGTTGTCTACTTTTATTACTTGTATTTTGTCTTTTATGTTCCCCCCCTTTTCCCCCCCTTGAATTGTTCGCCGCCCTGAGTCCTCCCGGAGAAGGGTGGCATACAAATAATACAATGCAATACAATAGTTGTCAATATGTCAATTGACAATATTACTATAATATTTATATTTGAAGTTGCTAGCAAACTAAGTTATTGAATTATTTTCCATTCGTGGACTTTACTTTTCATGTTGTGGTGCCTCAATTGCCATTCTGCTTAGATCATTTACATCACTCCCAATTACGGAATGTTTCACATTTTATTTGGATAAATGTGGAGAATAAACGTAATCTTTTCAAACCTCCACAAATAAAACTCTTTATAAACCTGATGCTTTTAGCCACAGTATTTGGATTTCTTTCCTGCCTGCTGAAAAATACAGTACAAATCAATTGCAATAAAATCCTTTTTAAGTAAATTAAGATTCTCAGTCATAAACAATAGGTTTCTTGTGTCCAAGAAAAGAAGTTCAGTTGCCATGACTCAACTTCCAGACAAAATACTTTTTAAAAAATCAAAGAAAACAGCCATGCATCTTGCTATCAGCCACAAAAAGGACCAAAGAGTCAACTACATGTTAATTTAACATAGTAAAAAAGTTGCTGTTTTTTAAAACTACTAATAAGAAATGAACTTAAACAATGTGTTACATATGTCAACTTGACTGTCACATTGTCATAAATAATTCCAGCCTGCATTTCAACTTTCTCTGTCTCATGCAAAATTTTGAGGTAGGTGAGTTGATCTCCTGGTCATATAGGCCAGTGTTTCTCAACCTTGGTGACTTTAAGTCCTGTGGACTTCAACTCCCAGAATACCTATGCTGGCTGGGGGATTCTGGGAGTTGAAGTCCACAGGACTTAAAGTCACCAAGGTTGAGAAACACTGATATAGGCAGACAAATTTCCCCTTGCAAGACAAAACAAACAAACTTTATTGTAGAACTATTGAAGGAAAGAAGGAAAGTGGCTACAAGTTAGGACAAACAGAAAACAGACCAGATTAAAATTTTTCCCCAAATAAAGTTTAATTTTGTCTATCACTTCTCAGATTGGTTTTATTTCCAAAAGAGAGGCGATGGAGCTGAATTTTTTTAGGCACATGTCTTGAGGTTCTACAACTATAAAGTTCAATTATTTTTATTTTTACATTTTAGTTGTCAGAAATATAGTATAGATTGTGAAAGAATTACCTTTTCCATATACCAGAATCAGAAGAGGTTGCTAGCTTAGGAAATTCAAGGAAGGTAAATGAAGGCATTTCTAAGCTAGTACACATATACACATATGTAGTAAGCTAGGCATAATTTCTAAGCAGGAGACTTAAGACCCTAATGGCATATGGGGCAGACAGTTTGAGAGTAAGCCTTATATAAATTTGAGATAAGCTTCTATAACTCTCTAGACATCATGGATGGTCTTCCGAATTTACCTTATAATCTCTACCTCCTTTTCTAAAATCAGAAAATCTTGAATTATTTTTCTGGATCAATCTGAAAAAGTTGGGAGAAATCTCCTTTCTCTCCTTATGGAAATCTTTTGTTCCAAAATACATGAACTTTCATACTTCCTTTCCTTAAACCAGTAGCTTATAAGGAAACCCAGGCCTTCTTATATCACCACTTTTATTCTCAAATACTCAGAGGCAATAGGTGATATTCCTTTGTGGAATTAGAAATAAATCAATTCAATATGGGAAACGTAAAAGTACACAACTATTTTCAAACCAGCTCAGGAATTTCATGTAGAAGTGTATTAGATCTCCTATAGTTTCATAGGGTTTCTACTCCTCTGTAAAATACACATGGTTGATTTAAAAAAGTATGAGAAAGAGAAAAAGAGTGTGTTTCTGATCTTTCGGGGTTCTATATCTGTGAAGGAAAGTCAATAAAGGAGGTGGGAAAACTTTCTAAATTAGACTGCTATTTTGAGGCTGCAAATTAGATTTGATTAGAATTTTATAAGCATATCTTTAGCAACTGTTTGGGAGTTGCAGATTACCTGGCCAGCATTATTATGTATTCCAAGAAAGCCCTTGCTTTGGGCAAGGCGTTGCTAGGCTACAACAAGTGGCAAGGCTCTTTCTGGTTGCAGGATGAAATGCCTTCTGCTCATCCTTGAGTCTGTAGAAGATGGTGGATAATGCAACAAGTGCAATTTCAAACAATATTTGTGAAGGGTTCTGTCTAGGTCAGTGATGGCAAACCATTTTGGCGCTGAGTGCCCAAACCAGAACATGTTTGCATGTGTGTGTACAGGAGTGCTAGAAATCTGAAGAACAGCCAGTTGGTCTTCCGGTTTCCAGCATGCACATGCATGCCGGCCAGCTGGTCTTTGTGCACGCTGGAGCACCAAAAATCCGAAAACAAGCTGGCTAGTGCACACATGCCGGGTTTTTGGCCATTTTGCGGGACTTGTTTTTTGGCTGTTTTCAGGCCATTTTTCGGGCCAAGAACACCTGGAAAAAGTCCCCCAAATGGCCTGGAAACAGCCTGAAAAATGCCCTGTTTTTTTGGCCATTTCTTTGGCAATTTTCTGGCACTGGCACCCGTGAAGACCAGCTGCCCGACACGCATGTGCACACTGGAAACCAGAAGAGCAGCTGGCAATGGCGCATGTGCCCACAGAGAGGGCTCTGCGTGCCACTTCTGGCACGCATGCCATAAGTTCGCCATTACGGGTCTAGGTAATCTTTTAAAAATGTCATCGCTGAACAAGGCAGTAGCTGGAAGCTTTTATGATATTAGAAGGAAATATTGATATAATATCACTACTAAATAGCATGGTTTTTTTTGGGGGGGGGGTGAAGAATCACTTCCTCATATGTCTGGATTGTGGTCTAGATGATGAAGGCAAAGAAAACAAAGGGTAGATCCAATTTCTCAATGCTATAATAAACTTGGTGTTAATAACATTTGTACCAATATTTTAATCAATATTAGTAAATATCTTTTAACACTGGGGTTTTGTCTTTTTGTGCTGAACAATTTAATTTTGCTTCCAAAAAGTACACTGTCTCTAAAGAAACAATGAGGCATGAATACTCTTTACCTCAGTTATACTGAAGCTATGTGCTGCAAATACAAGAGATGCTGCAGGATCTCCCAATTTCAGTTCCCATAACTGTTTCCCATTATTTGATGAAACTGTGCCAAGTTACACACAGGCATGAAACCATTGTCTCCTTTCTCTCTAGACTTTTATATAAAATAAATGAAAAGTAAACTAAGTAAGGAATGGTGGAGATTATCTCCTCCCAGTCTTAGTTTTTTTAAAACCAATCTCCTGTCATCTGTTCACTAGTTCTCTACCTCTAATCTTCCCCCAAATATGACTAAGATGATGCAGAACAAATCCCATTTCTACAATCTTTAGGTTTTTCAAAAGTTGTCATCCTCCCATGACAGTTTCTCCACTCTTTGCTCTGACTGATAGCTTCTTCATATAAACAGGCTTGTCTTACAAAACAATCATCCTAGTTGCACTCCAGACCTATATGGAATCTTCCATATACCATTTACTGCATTTGTATCCTGTCCAATTCTGCAGTATTAACCCTGGGAACCTCAAGGATGTTCTGAGGAAACCAGCTGGTTGCTCCTCAGCCAAAGATTATAGTTACTTGCTCTCTTGAAGTAGTCATCTGCCTCATAGTTGATGATAGAACAGTGGTCCCCAACCTTTTGGGCACCAGAGACCGGTTCTATGGAGAAAGCTTTTTCTAGGAGACAGAGAGGCCATGGTTTCACATGCTGCCTGCATCCCATGGATGGGGCTTTGCTTGTTTGCATGGCCTGGTTGCTGGCATGCCACAGACTGGTGCCAGTCCCTGAACTGGGGGTTGGGGATCCCTGTGGTAGACAGTGGAAATGCAATATATTTTTCACATCTTAGCCCTGGGGAAGCTTCATTAGGAACAAATACGGTTATTTTCCAAAATGGAAATGTGGCATGAATCTACTTAAGTCTTGAATAGTGAGCAAGATAAAGGCCAACATTTAGGATGGTATCTATTGTATGTAAAGGATAATTTAAGATAGGCCACTGTTTGGCAATCATGAAGTGTAGCTGCCAATTTATTTGATGCATTTTCATTCATCCTCTTTCCATTTTTGCCTATCAAAAACACATTGGTTACTTTCATGCACCAATCAGTTATTTTGTTCAACAGTTCATTTATTTTGGCTGTTTCATGCTTTCTACTCTGGGATAGGTTAGATTGACAGCTGACATTGATGGCTGACTGTTGCCTCTGTCAATGTATGTATCCACACTGTAATCACAAGAACATATCACCCTAGTTGATTGTGTTTGCAGGGGCAAAAACATTTGAGACATGAGATTCTAAGAATGAAACAACTTCCCCTCCCACAGTCTGCAAACAAATGAAATCTGCCTCCTTCGGGGGAAAATACTCCGCTCTTTCTGCGGGTTCAGTATATGATTGACTTATGCCCACGGGTATTTGCACAGGCTGCGTGTGTGCGCAGTGGAGGAGGGCAGGGCTGGGAAGTATTCAAGACAAGCTAGGTTTCGTTTCTGGTAAGGTGATTTTACGAGATAGAAATTGCAGACACTTTTTTTTTTAAAATGTTGTCCGTAGTTGCCCGTTCAGCGCCCAGCCTTCAAGTTCTCTTCCGCGGTTTCTTGTGAGCTGGATTGTCTACGAGAGAGAGCGAGAGAGAGCAAAAGTGTTTGAAGACTTTCCCCTGCAGCCTCCGAAGAAAGAGACGAAAGATCTAACCGGAAACTTAAAAGAGTAACTTTAACACTTTTATTTTGGCGCGGGGCAGACGAGCGGAGGGGGAAATTGCTATTGAGTATTTTTCTACTCGGGATTTTGTCTTTCTTTTTGCACCGCGCAAGTTCTTAGTTAAACATCAAAACCTTTTGCCCTTCTCTTAAAAAAAATAAAATTGTACGGCTGCATGAGAAGGGACAGGCGCGCAATTTATAGCTGGCTGTTACACACCCTACCCGAGGCGACGGGAAAAGCGAGCTTGATGAAATGTGGGGAAAATAACGCATTAATCCTGCTCTCAGAGCTTTGTTGTGGCCACAATTTCCAGCAGGCCCGGAGCCCGCGGCCTTTGGTGATTCTTCAGCAGGGAAAGCCCTGCTTTCTTTGGCGACTATCTGAAGGACCTTTTAGTTTCAGGAATTGAGCCTTAAGAAATTGAAAATACCTTTTAATTACTCTCCTTTCGAAAGAAAACAGCAGTCTATTAAAAAGGTAAACAGAGAGGAAATTTAAGATAAAAGACTGGTGGTCCCACATTTGCTTTAAAACAGTGTCTTTCAAACTTGGGAGTCTAGTTTGGAAAAAAAAACAGTGCTATAAAATGAACTAGTGCCATTAAATCAATATTTAGTTCCAAGAATAGTCCATCTATGAGTAAAGAGCTGCGTACTTTGGTGTTCTAGAAGTAGTTCAGTGTAGGGTTTAAGTGAGGGCTGGGATCGAACCTATAATGCTGGGCTTCCTCTTGAAGTTGTGGGCATGTCTGTTTTCAAGGACCATTGGATACTTTTCTGTAAGATTCTACTTCCTTTTGTTATTGAAAGGAAGCATATACCCATTTGTTCACTGGTTTTTGCTGCTTAATTCTGGGTTGTGATTTCCCCACAATGGGTTCATATCATATATGCATCAGACATTTATTAGCTGAAGGGGTTTGGTGAAACCTTGGCAACACCACATTTTAACCCTTATTCAGTCCATAGCAGATTGTTTTCATCCGCCTCTAAAGCAGATTAAGGTTAAAAGAATGAAGGTGGTCATTGCTGTTTGATTAAAGTAAATGTTTTGTCAAAATGTTTGATTTTAATATTTGTAAATTGGTTTGATTGGGGCTTAGGTTGCTAATAAATCAAGATGCTTTTAGTAGCTAACCTTGACTTAAGATGCGTGTCTTGATAAACAGGTAGCATTTTTTTCTGATTTCACATTCTGCTTACTAATGTAATAGTTAATGCTTGTTTTTAAAGAAAAGGCCATCCCTCTCAATGGGTGTGGCAGGTATAATACTGTGGGGAGGCTGGGGCTTGATTAAAAATTTTATACGGAGCAACAAAAATTTTCATACAATGCAAAAATAGTATTGTAATATTTTTTTTAATTTCAACATAACTACAATTTACAAGAAAGGTGGTATAGTGACCAAAGTTACAATGGCATTGAAAAAAGTGACCGATGACCATTTTTCACACTTAGCGACCATTTTCACACTTAGCGACCATTGCAGCATCCTCATGGTCATGCGATCAAAATTTTGATGTTTGGCAACAGATTCGTATTTATGATGGTTTCAGTGTCCTGAGGACATGTAATTGCCTTTTGTGACCTTTTGACAAAGTCAAATGGGGAAACCAGATTCACTTATGTTACTAACTTATCAGCTGCAGTTATTCACTTAAGAACTGTGGCAAGAAAGGTGGTATAGCGGCCAAAGTTACAATGGCATTGAAAAAAGTGACTGCTGACCATTTTTCACACTTAGCGACCATTTTCACACTTAGCAACCGTTGCAGCATCCTCATGGCCACGTGATTAAAATTTTGATGTTTGGCAACAGTTACAATTTATATTTGTAAATTGTAGTTATGTTGAAATTAAAAAAAATATTACAATACTATTTTTGCGTTGTATGAAAATTTTTGTTGCTCCGTATAAAATTTTTAATCAAGCCCCAGCCTCCCCCCCCCCCCTCCGGTCAAAGGTGTCCCTCTTTACCAATCTGAAAATCTGGTCACCTTAGACATGTCCCCTTGAAAATGTTATTGGAGTAGCTAACTTTTTGCAATGAGGGTCTCTTACTGTCACTCCTTTTGAAGTGTTATTTTGTAGATTTTTATTGCTTTTGCCAGAAACACTTCATTTGCATACAGATCATCCCCAGGGAAAATGGCATTGGACAGAATCCAGATACTACTGATGGTTAACAGCACTGAAAGGTAGGAGTAGAAAGGGCAAGGGTATACGATAGAGTAGCCCAGGGCAAAATCCTACAAGCCAATCTCCATAGCTTCACAACAGCTAAGAATAGCCATTTAGCCTACCAGAAAATGAGATTGTTTATGTAGGAATATTCAAACAAAACAATGCAAGATGAAAATATTTAAATTCCTGCCTATTGATTTACACAAGCAGGATCTATATAGAAAACGGAGCTTCTGGTGAAACAAAGAGGAACTTAAAACAAATGCCAAACAATTCAAAAGTCTTTTGTATGGGTAGTGTAGCTTTTTTAAATTTTATTTTCAGAATTGAGTAGAGCTGCTCTGTGCACTTGCCACCTGTGAGAAAACAGGATGTGCTTGCCCCTACTTGGTCCAGGTCCTCAGAGCAATCAAATTAACTGCAGGTCTATTGCAGCAGGTGGCCCAGCTTGAAACAGCAAACATTTTTCAAAATGCTTAAGATATTTTCATTCTATTTCTCTGCATTTCTGCCTTAGCACCGCAGCTGCACACTGAAACCAAGAAGAGAGGAAATAAGACTTTAAGACAGACTTCGCTAATGGGGGAAACTCATATGGTTGAAAAGAGTTTCTAACTTAACACTCTTAAGGCTTAAACCATTTTATATCCATCTTTTATAATGAAATTTACTAATAAAAAGACAAAAGAAAAAATTGTGTTCCTTCTGATTAGTTTGGTGAATGAAAGATTTGCTCTTAAGTATCTATAGTTACTTTTCAGCTAATTTGCAGAAATACACCTATATATATTTATCTGGGAAATATGATAGCAATAGCAATAGCAGTAGACTTATATACCGCTTCATAGGCCTTTCAGGCCTCTCTAAGCGGTTTACAGAGAGTCAGCATATTGCCCCCAACAATCTGGGTCCTCATTTTACCCACCTCGGAAGGATGGAAAGCTGAGTCAACCCTGAGCCGGTGAGATTTGAACCGCTGACCTGCTGATCTAGCAGTAGCCTGCAGTGCTGCATTTAACCACTGCGCCACCTTGGTAGATAAATATACCAAGAGAAACATGGGATATAAAGAATATAAATGAATGTGTTTCTGTTAGGTTTTCTCTTTTCTACGCAAAAGAAAATATGACTGATTTTTAGAAAGAACCAAGCAATGTTATCAACTTTTTAAGTACAAAGTTCTTTGAAGCTATTACAGATAGCTTCTTTGTACATTTGATATATAAATACTAATCAGGAAAATTATTTCCTATCTCAATTGTTTAATTAGCACTGAGTATTTTCTGCTCTAGTAATAGTAATACTTAGAAAAAGTTAATTAGAAAATAGTAGGAAGCCCAGGTATCAAAGAGAGCAAAAACATAGATATATAGATAAAAGATATAAAGGATGCATATCAGAAATTTCTATGATCTGAAGTCACAGCTAGACAAAAAGTTGAGTTACCACCCTATAAGCATTTTTAAAAATCAAAGATGAACAAAAATGGAATTTGTATATTGATAATTAGTTTCTTCCTATTGTATTAGCAAAGCTATTAATGTAATTTATAAGAATGGAGATAAAGCTGTGGCGAACTCCTGGTCAGAAAGCCTTTGTTTTTGGCATGCACTGGGCTCTGCATTCTTGTCACTGGGATCTGGGGCTGTGGACAATAATCACTAGGTGCTAGAATAGAATCAATAAACCCATTTTCATGAGTTGCTACTGAAGTTGTAGGTTTGCATATTCCTCCACAGAAATGGATTTTGATCTGGAGTTCCTTTTTTTCTGGATCAGAAAATATACCCAAGAAATACCACCAATATTAGGTTCTAATAACCTTAAAGTTATTAGATTAATGGCGTAGTAGTTCCTAAAATAAATACCTTATTGAAAATGCAAAATAAAATAGGGGTAAAAAACAGAAGTTTGGGGGAATATTATGTGTATATAAATATGACCCCAGGGGAAATTATTCTGTTTTGTGACATCAATTGGTGGATGGGACCGAGGCAAGTAGAATACTAAAATAATAAAAGATTATTATTATCAGACAAGAATGGGAGTAAACCTTTCACTCTGGAGTGGGTAAACCTTTCACTCTGGAGTGATGCATAAATCTGTATTTGTGAACATGGAAAATTAATAAATCCAAAAACATATATTGATTTGATTGTTTATGATGAAATATTGGGAGAATTTGTGAAGGATATAAAGATGATGAGTGGTTCAAAATATGGGGCAGATCACGCTGCTAATGTCAAGAGTGGGTTTGGGGGAACTTATCTGTGGAAGAAAAGAAATGTAAGAAATAGAATGAAATTACTGTAACCACACAGAGAGGGAAAATAGAAGACCTGCGTTAATAAATATTAGAAGGTAGTTTAATCTCTCTTAATAGATTAAATGGAACATGGGCATAAGGAAAGAGACAAAGTTTATTGTCTCAAATAACAAGGTACCTGTAGTCTTTGCTTAACAGTAATTAGGACTATAATTTATATTGCTAAGCGAAGTGATCGTAAGTGCAATGTTACATGACTGCAATTTTGGTAAACTTCCCCCATTGCTGTTGTTAAATGAGGACCACACAGGTTGCTAAGGGCTTTCAACTTCTTGCAACTTTCCTTATTGATGTCTGCTGGTGCAAAGCTGACAGCAAAGCCTGCAAATTGCAGGCACTGAAACTGTAAGAAATCCAGGCCAGTTACCAACTGCTCATATCATGATTATGTGACTGCAAGGACACTGTGACACCTGGAATTTTGAGGACTGGTCACACTGCCTCTCATTCAGTGCTATTATAAGTTTAAATACAGGTAGTCCTCAACCTATAAAAGTTCATTTACTACCCATTCAAAATTACAATATCTCTGAAAAAGTGACTTATGACTATTTCTCACACAACCGTTGCAGCATCCCTATGGTCACATGATCAAAATTCAGATTCTTGGCAATTGGTTCATGTTTATGACAGTTGCAGGTTCCTGGAGTCTTGTGATCACCTTTTGCAACCTTCTGACAAGCAAAGTCAATGGGGAAGCCAGATTCATTTAGTAACCATGTGACTCACTTAACAACTGTGGCAAGGGAGATGATAAAATGGGACAAAACTCACTGAACAAATGTTTCACTAAGCCATATAAATTTGGGGTTTAATTGTGGTCGTAACTTAAGGACTACCTGTAATTGCTTGGTTGTTAACCAAGGACTTTCTGTAGTTGGATTTGATAGATAAAATGGACTGATGCAAATTATTCTCTAACAAACAATAGAATGAATGAATGAATAAATAAATAATTATTGATTACATGACATCAGTGTTTACTCTTTGCAATCACATAGGTAGAATTTCTCCAGCATGATCTGTCCCTAACCTGGTCCTTCAGGTCTTCAGATATAGATTATTTATAAAATGGGAAAGTATAAATACTGATGGAATGGAAATGAGTAAGAATCTGGTCTATGATTAGGAATGAATTTTGAAAGTGAAAATGTCTGTGTAGAAGAGCTTGCATTGGCTTTCTTTATTATATGGAAATGAAAGTTGGGTATTTCAGAAGAAACATGAAGTTAAGGGTTTATGGTTAAATAAGAGATAAGGTTTAGAATAAACTGCACAACCCAGACCCCTTTGGGTCATCATTTCAGAGATATTTCCTTACCTAAACAAAGAAAGAGAATGACCAAGGACAGGCAAAAAAGTTGTGGGAGTCAGAGGCATTTCTGACTTCCTGCTGGCTTCCCCCATTGAGTTTTCTGGAAGGAATCTGGCATCAGAAATATGCCTCCCTTCATAGTAGGCAGCTAAGTGGCTGCTGCTGGGAGGAGAAGGGAGTGAAGGAAGGCAAAACTATCTGGGGAACTGTGATGGAATATTGAAAATTAAGATCACATGACTACATCAAAAGCACAGCATCTGGGGGGAGGGGCCGAAGCCGTGACAAGACGACGTGCGATCTCAAAGCTCTGAGATCACAGTCGACACTTTTATTGCTGGGGGGTTCCAACGGACCTAAATCATCCCGAAGAAATGGTGAACAGGAAGATTACATCTTGCTGATCTCGGGGATATCGCAAAATCTCTGAGAAAAGCAAGGGAAAGTGTTCTTCTGGTAATAAAAATTCCAGTCTGTCAAGACTGACAAAGTCAGGGCAGCCTCAGAAAGGAACGGAACGATCTGGAATAGAAAGTGTTTCTAGCTGGTGAGAAACTTTCATTGTTTTAAAAAAATGGACTGCCTATAAAATCAAAAAACTAATTTAAATCAAAGAATAGAAGAACTTAGTGGCGAATTTGATTTTTTCAATGGTTCTGGACAGTGGTTATCTTTTTAAATGCTATTTACATGGATTGATTCTAAGCAAAACCTTTTCAAATGGATGGATTATCCTTCTAACATTTCTTTGTGACTCTCTGTAAGCTACAGATGGATTGTTTTGACTTCGACATTCTAAGCTTTTATTGCTTGGCTGTTTGGCTTAAGATCTGATAAGATTTTACAGCTGTCTCTTTGAAGTTTGTTTTCGCTTGCAGAGAGTTTGCGAGTGAGTGTTTCAATCTTGCTGAGCTTCTAAGAAAAAATACAGCTGCGTATGAACATGGCGTCTCTCTCTCTTAGCTCTACAGAGGGTGTTGGATACAGAGGAAAGAATTGAGAGAAAATTGGATTATTTGGTGCATTTGGCAATGAAATGTGATGAAAAAACTGAGGATGTTCTTCAAACACAAAATAAGAAGATTGAAATTCAAAAAATTGAAATGGAATACGAATATAAAAAGATTGAGCCTGTTGATATTCATGGCAATTGGTTTATTTCTGAGGGAGGAAAGAGTGGAATATTAGAAGAGGAATTAAATGGAAAGAAAATTTATTTCAAAGGACAGAACATAGAAGAAGAAAGCATTAAAGAATTTATGAACTATGAAATACTATTTGCAAAATATTTGATAACACTGCTGATAATTAAAGACAAGCTGAAAAAAGAAACAAGAAGGAGGGCGTCAATATTATATGAGAGATACTATAAACAAGGAGTTGCTAAGAGGAGTCCATATAGATTTGTTTAAGAAGATGTTTGGAGGACTGGATCCACAAATGGCAGAAGACATAAGATTGTTTTGCTATTGGAGAGATACAGGTTGATAGATGGAAGAGTATAATTTAAAACTAGCTAAACTTAGTTAAATTCAGTGATAATAGGTATAGTTAAATAAAAATTGATAATGATAGTAATGTATACAATGTTGAACTGTTATGATAAGTAATAATTGGATATCAATATTGAATGTTATCACAGGAAGGAAAGGTTAGAAATATTTTTGGATTATATATAAAGGTTATTAATAACAATAACAATAAAAAGAACAAAATTAGACACAGCTAAGTTTTAACTAATGGGGGAAAATGTTATGATATAGGATATATTTAAATAAAGAAAGGATAGTGGTAATAAATTATATACATGGAGGATTAGAAAATTTTGGTATTAAATATTATGGATGTTTAGCTAAAACAGAATATGAGGATTTAATTTTAATGGAGGATTTTATAAATAAGTAAATGAAATGCCAGCATGTGGTTATGTATTAAATTTGGTATATTTTATGATGAAGGGCGTTTAAATAATTATAGTCAAATAAAAGTGGAGGTATGATGATGGTATATAATAAATATCTGAGTTAAGATATTAGAATTAATATGAATTATATTTCATGACGGTGGAAGAGATGCACAAAAGCCTTTTGTAACCAACTGATACACTTTCTACAGTATGTAAAGAAGGAGGATTTGTATGTTTGTTTTGAAAATAAAAAAAAATTATAAAAAAAGCACAGCATCTGCCAGTAGCACTGAAGCAGCCACAATTTGCCCAAATTTCACGTCCTCAGGAGTCATGGGTCCCAGGTTGTATATTTTGTACATTAGCCCATTTGAGTTACCCTGGTTCAAAAAAGGTTGCCCTATGATACAGTTTTTCACCAGGTTAAAGCTCATGATGAGTTTTAGTGATAAACTCATGATTCAGTGATTCAATTTTGAATACAAAATTGAGAATCATGATCATACTGATCATGAAGGCATAATGTTGGAATTGCAGGGGAAATATGTGAAGGAAAAGCAAACAGGTTGAGAAAAGGAAGAATTAAAAAAAAGTATAATTGATAAGGTTGATGTGAATCTGAAGAAAAGAAAGGATAAAAACTTGAACCAAAAGCTGTACAGTATAAAGAAAGAAGCAAATATAGTATGGGAAGATTTAGTAAATTGCATTAGTGTTTAGCTGTAATTTCCTTATCTCATGCTTTATTTTTTGGGTTTGCATGACACTACTTACTTCAAAAGGGAATTGTATCTGTCTATATATCTATGTACACAGTACATTCAGAAAGGAAACATTTATTTTAAATAAATATTTTTTCCTTTCAGGAAAATGAGGAAGCTTCTGAAGTGCTGGACATGTTTGCCTTTCATCCTTTTCATTATCCCAACTAATTGTGGGTCAACTCAGAATATCTGTAAAATCACAGATAAAATGGCAGACTGTAGTCATTTAAAGCTTTATCAAATTCCCTCCAATCTCCCAGCTGATATAACAACGTTGGATATTTCACATAACCAGCTGAAAACACTGCTGCCTGAAAACCTTACAAAGTACAATCAGCTTGTTTATTTAAATGTGGGGTTCAATTCCATATCCAAACTAGGGATTCACTTGTGCCTCAGTTTACCTTTGTTAGAGGTATTGAGGCTGGAGCACAATCAGTTGCGTACATTATATGGAGAAGTTTTTACTTCCTGTACCAATCTCAGAGAGCTTAATGTGGGATTCAACATTCTGAATACAAAAAATGATCCTTTCAAAAATCTGAAGGTAAGTCTGAGCTTTGACCTGCTATTTTCTGAATTCATATGATTGAAGGTTCTATTACATTAAGGATAGCATGACATGACTGTATGTGGATATGACTTGACTGAGTTATACTAGCATCATTTCCTTAAATAATAATTCTTTCGACTGGTATTGATTCTCCAGCTTTTTTGATGAAGCTATTTCATAGTAGAGAAGAGCTGTTTAATAGAAATGGGTTTAATTCCTTCTGTAAACACTGTGATTTTTTATCTTAGATTATTGCACTCAAATGTGTGCTTTTATCCATTTTTTTCCTAGTCTTATGTTTCTTGTTATTTCGTATTCTGCTTTAAAATGTAATTGCATGATTGGCATATAGATATGCTGCCTGTTCTGAGTCAGAATTAGAATTGGGTACATAAATGAAGATAAACATACATATACAGTATGTCTGGGATGTGTATGTATTGAATATGGCCTTCTTTTTTATGCAGTTTATACTGCAAGGTGCATAATATGGATTCCTGTCATAAGAGCATGTAAATTTCTGCAGAATTGCTTCTCTGGAATTCTGTACTTGCCATCTAAATTGATACAGATTGATGCTTTTCTGTTACTAATTGTCATTCTGGAAACCACTTCCTTGCATTCTTACTGCATCAGGGTTTTTATTCTATATAAATGACTTAAAAGGTTTTTCCTCCTTGATTTTGGTGATTTAGTTTTCAAACAAATTCAGCCATAATCTTTGTAGAACAAAAATCTGAACAGAAACACACTGAACATTAAGGATGCAATCAAAAAACAAGATACCAATGCCAAAACGATAGCATGAAATAAATTCCCTTACAATAAGCCTTTGTTGAATTTTCCTGTGGCCTCATATCACCTTTTTTCAATCTAGTACATACCAGTCTGCTGGGTCTATAGTTCACAATTCCAAAACACTGGAAAGTTTAAAATTATATGTGACACTCTTAGATTTTGTTTTCCTTGGCAATGTATTAGGGCAGTGATGGAAAAGCTTTTTCACCTTGGGTGTCAAAAGCACGCACGCTATCACACACACTCACGCTATTGTACATGCTATCACATGTGCTTGCGTGCCCACCCCATAATTTAATGAACCCCCTGCACTGTGCCCCCTGCGCATGCACACATGACCTCCTGGCTGCCCCACACACGTGTGCACGGCTTTCTTGGAGCCTGGGGAGGGCCAAAATGCCTTCCCCCTCCCCCCACAAGCCAAAACCAGTCTGTTTTCTGACTTTCAGTGGGACCAGTAGGTCCATTTTTCACCCTCCTCAGGCTCCAGAGGCTTTCTAGGAGCCTGGAGAATGCAAAAAATTGCCCAACATGCAAACTGGAAGTTCAGGAACAGACTTCGGATTGCACGTTGGGCTGTTTTTTGCCCTCCGGAGGCTTCAGAAGGCTTCCCTGAAGCCTCTGGAGGGTGAAAAACAGCCCAACGCACAAACCGGAAGTCCATTCCTAAACTTCTGGTTTCTGTGTTGGGTGGTTTTTCACTTCAGGAGGCTTCCCAGAGGGTGAAAAATGGCCGAAAATCAAGGCTAAAAATCAGCTGGCCAGTGCGTGCATGTGTGCTGGAGATGACAAGGCAATGCCTTGTGTGCCTCAGAAATGGCCATAGGTTCGGCATCACGGTATTAGGGCATTCCACAAACTTAGTCATTTCATGAAAAAGCAGTAAATCAGTAAGAAGATATAAGTGCAATGTACATCAAAGGTTCACAGCAAAGGAAAGGGATTCTAAGGTAACACTGGTTTTTGCCAAGGAAAGGGGTTTTATATGCCACTATGTTAAGCATATAATAATTGCCAACATAGGCTTCTTAAACTTCTTTCTATGCAGGGCTTCCTAGTAGCTTATTTTGAGGAGTTGGTTTACCATACTACTGTAGTATACTAAGAAAAGTTGTAATCACAATGACTGTCCACATAGGATCATTATAGAACTAATATTGTTAAGAAAATAAGCTGTATGTGCATGTCTAAAACACGCAGACATGCCATACATGCCAGGGTAGAAATGTGGACACAGACAGACAGACAGATGAAAAAGAGAAAGTTTGGAGAGATCTGAATTCTCTGGAAAATCACTAATGAAAATGGATGTGGGCCAACAGCAGTTGTTCTATTGTAGGGGATGTCCATAACACAGTCTCTACTGAAGTCATATTAATTTCTTAAAATCAAAGACACCTCGCAGAATAAATCATATGTTGAAGACATCAGGATCAGTTTTATTACTGATGATTTATTTTATTTGATTTAGATAGCCTACTTTGCAACACAACTCCTGGTGGTAGGCACAATGTGGACATCAATATAATGCCAAGTAGTAGAAATAATTAAAATCACATAATAACAGCAGAAATGCAAATAATGTAATTATCAGACTCTCAAGGTCCTGGCATGAGAGTTGTGGTCCAAAAATGAAGTGTACAAACTGCCTGTTCTTATGTACTGTTTCTTCATTTCCCTTAGGTGTATGTGTGGAGTTTAGTCTTCTGTGTCAGTGCAAGAACGTCAGGATAATTGCCAAATTAATGTTTTTTTGTTTAAGTATCAAATTTGCTATAACTGGAAGAGACTACCTAGATTTTTTTCTAGCTAGTGTTGCACATGGTTGAACTAGGGATGTACAGTGCTTTGCAGTTTTAAAAAAATGCCATATAGAGCATATGGATGGTACTGCTTAAAGCAGCTTGCTTTTTCCTGAGATTGTGCTTTTGGCTTCTGAATGTGGTGTAAAGTTTTCTGAAAGAGCTTTATGCATGCCCTGGCTGTGATGTTGTATCACATCGAAAGCCCTGCACAACGATAGCTTTAATCAGAAAACCTAATAGACTTGCAACGTATAAGAGGAATATAAGACGGATAATTCGCTTTCTTTATTTTCTTTTTCTCTTTGCTAGAATTTGGCTTTCCTTGATGTCTCTCATAATCACCTAAGTTCTACAAAATTAGGGTCTCAGCAGCAATTAGGGAATCTACAAGAGCTTGTGATGTCTCAAAACCAAATTACAAAATTAAATAAAGAAGATCTATACTTTCTTGGTAACTCTTCATTAAAAAGATTGGACCTTTCATCAAACCCAATAAAAGAGGTAAATAAAATCATCATGCCTAGGGTCTTGGTGGCCTGAAAGAATTAGAATACTTAGGTTTAAAGAAGATCATCCTTCCCTCCCTCTCTCAAATCTCACATTATTTGCATGAAAATCCATATACATTGTGCCACTTAAACATTGTTCTTTAAAAAAAAATCCACATTCTGCCAGCCCCTTTGCACATAGCTCCAGCCATTGCCTTCATTGCATTGCAACCTGAGTTAAGGTTTGTCTAATTTGGACCCCTAGTTTCTGTGAAAATTGGAGAGGGAGCAGTTTTTAATAATTTATCAAATTTAGAAACTGCCCATCACCCTCACTGAGGGACTCTGGATGGTGTACAAATAAAATATGAAAACACAAAAACTGTACATAAGATTTAAATATGGGAAGCATAGTTAAAATTCAACATTAAAAGTTAATTAAAAGGCTTGGGGATGACCTTTAGGGCACTAACATCTCCGCAGCTGTGTGGTCCTCTGAGCCTCACGTGAGATGGGAGAGCCAGGTTCTTAGATATTTTTGAAATGCCAGGATAGTGGGAGCCCACCTTGCATCTGGAGGAGAAAGAATGTTCTAAACAGTGAAGGCAATTGCAGAGAAGGGTTTCTTCCTGGACACCCCCCCCCCCCAAAATGGAATTCTTGAAATGACAGGGTCGACAACATACCTTCCCTGCCAAATCAGGAGGGATGGGTTGAAGTAATAGGCAGAGACATTTCTGTAGATAAACTGGTTCCACGCCATGAAGGAAGTATAACTAACACTTTAAATTGCACTGGAGGAAACTGGCACTCAATGCAGGTTGCGCAGCAGATGTGTTATATGCACAAGGCTGCATTCTATACCAGCGGAACTTTCTGTCTACTTTTCAAGGGTGGCCCCATCTAGAATGCATTGCAATAATCCAAGCAGAAGATGACCAGAGCATGAATGACCAGGCACAGTGACTCCCTCTCCAGGAAAGGCCATAACTGGTACACAAGGCACAGCTGAGCAAAGATCCTCCTAGCTACTATACAACTGCCACCTGCTCTCTGGGAAGGAGCCATGAACTGAGGAGGATCCTCAAATCATGCTCTGAATTGGCTCAAAATTGGGGGGGGGTGTGATTATGGGAAGACTCAACATTTCTGTCATGTGGAATAATTTTAAAACACTTTAATTATTATTTCTAGTTTCAACCAGGCTGCTTCCAAGCTATTGAAAACATATATGGCCTTGATCTGAACAACGTTCCATTGGGACCTGATGGCACAGAGAAACTTTGTTTGGAATTATCTGGCACAAAAATACAGAACCTTTCAATGAGCAAAGTGCAAATTTCACGGATTTCCAATGTGACCTTTAGTGGAATGAGTAAAACAAACCTTACCATTTTAAACCTATCAAATAATTATTTGTCTGTTATTGAAAATGCCTCATTTATATATTTTTCAAATTTAAAAGAACTAAATCTAATGAATAACAATATTACAAAACTGTCTTCTCATACTCTTTATGGACTTCAAAATCTGAACTATTTCAACTTGGAAAATTCACATGTCAGAATAATTGATTCGGCATTCCAGTGGCTAACTCATTTGAATTACCTTATTATGGATGGTAATAAATTTCTAGAGATTACTCCCCATACGTTTAAAGGTTTAGAAAATTTGAAAAACTTGAGTTTATGTCAGTGCAATATAAATTCAATAACAAATATGACATTTGCTTCACTTGCAAATTCTTCGCTGCAATTTCTCAATCTAACAAAAGCTGGAATCATTTCTATCAAGCCCAAAGCTTTTTCTTGGCTAAGGCAACTAAAAATGCTTGATTTAGGTTTAAATAATATTAAACAGAACCTTACAGGTCAGGAATTTCAAGGTCTTAGTAATATTGAGACACTGTATCTTTCATATAACTATCAGTTGAATTTGACAAGTGAATCATTCACTCTTATTCCAAGTCTTCGAAAGCTGAGAATGAGAAAGGTGCGTTGCAGTAATCTTGCAATCACCCCCTCACCATTTCGTAAATTAAAGAATTTGACAATCCTGGATATGGGTAACAACAATATTGCTAACATAAAGGATGATATATTTGATGGACTGCATCAGCTTGAAATTCTTGACCTGCAGCACAATAATCTGGCTCGACTTTGGAAACACACCAACCCAGATGGTCCTGTCCTTTTTCTCAAAGACCTTCACAACCTCCGTCTACTGGATTTAGAATCAAATGGCTTTGATGAGATTCCACACAAGGCTTTCTATGGATTATCTTTATTGAGAAGCTTGAATTTAGATTCCAATCTCTTAAATCTGCTTCCCAAGTCTGTTTTTGATGATCTGACATCTCTGAGCTTTCTCTTCCTCCAGAAGAATATGGTCACAGCTGTTGATGAAAAAGTGTTTGGTGCCGTTTTCAAACATCTAAAAGTATTAAATATGGCTTCAAATCCATTCGACTGTACTTGTGACAGTATACCTTGGTTTGTTACTTGGCTCAATAGCAATAAAACATATATCTCAAATTTAAACAATTATCAATGCAACACTCCACCCAAATATCACTCTAATTTAGTAGCACAGTTTGATACTTCTATATGTGATAATGCCCCCTTTAAGCTGGTATTCATTTTGTGCACTACTGCTATATTATTGCTCATCTTTATAGCTATGCTTGTTCACTTTCAAGGATGGAGAATTAAATTTATGTATACTGTGGCTGTAAACAGAGTATTGGGCATCAAAGAAATAGATAGACAACAGCAGCAATTTGAATATGATGCCTACATCATTCATGCCAAGAAGGATATGAACTGGGTATCCAATAACTTTATTCCCCTTGAAAATAATCAACCAGCCATTCGATTCTGTTTAGAAGAACGAGATTTTGAAGCTGGAATATCTGAATTTGAAGCCATCGTCAATAGCATACAGAGAAGTAGAAAGATCATATTTATTGTAACTAAACATCTCTTAGAAGATCCCTGGTGTAAAAGGTAAGTTGAAAATATTTAAATAATTGCCATTTTATTTGGGGTTTTAGGACATGTCTTTAATTTTAAAGCTGTTTCTGTGAATTGTCAGGATTTCCAGCTAAGGAATCGTATTTTCTTATGTTTAAAAGAAGGTGGTGGTAATCCTTTAACTTGAAAGATGAATTCTATGTATTACTGTGCAAATTTTGAGATTTTAGATTGTACAAGTTAAACAGCACAGGTGTTTATTTTTCATGTCACACATCTTATTCACAAAATACCAGGTTGGGCTTTCAAAAAATAGAGCTGATTTTTGTTAAATTTCAAGGCTGCTCTATTGCATTTAAGTGAATTTATGTTTGACAAGGCAAAAAGTATATGAAATGCATTATTAAGGTATTTTATTTATTACTTCTATTGCTTAATTATAATATGAATGATACAGCTATTTGAGCAGGAATGTTGCCATAAATTAACAGTCCTGGGTAAATTCTCTGAAACAGTAATATTTACAGGAGTATAAACTTTGTCTGCTAGTAGACAAAGAAGACTGCCTTCTTTACAGTCTTACACCAAGGTCCTGAAATTTATTTGGGAAATGATAAAGCCTGTTTTATCAAGGCTTTATCAAGGTTTTTGCAGGGGCTAGAATTACAAATCTAAAACCATCAGCGTGAAACAAAGAACTTGTGTCACTTTAAAAAGCTCTCAATACTTTGTTTTCTAGTGGAAGTAACATACATAACATTTCAAGTTGGCAGGCAAATCTGTCTGGTTCATTTCTGTATGTGAGGTTCACAGTTTGTATTTCTTAAATCTTTATAAGTAAATTAGGACATGCTTGTGTATTAAAATCTACATTTTCACAACTTTTGGGATAAAGTTCGCAACTCAACAGTGTGCACATAAAACATATATTAATGAAATATAACCCAATGCACTTCATAGAAGGGAAGAACTATTTAAAATGAATCCTAGGACAAATGCTTATAAAAATGATGATAGATTTCCACATTTTCAATCAGAATTATGCAAAACTCCCAACCTCATTTCTCATATAGTGCTGCTATCTTTCCATTTATATAAAAACACAAGAAATAAATTCTTGCAGTCATCAGGCACTCAGTGCATTCAGAAAGTATTCAGGCCCCTTTCACTTGTCAATTTTGTTATGCTGCCGCCTGATTCTACAGTTGTTGAAATTCATTTTTCCCTCTCATTACTGTAGACTTAGTACCCCATAATGACAAAGTGAAAAAAGAATTTTAGAAATGTCTGTAAATTTATTAAAAAGAAAAAGTGAAATATCACATTGGCACATTGACCATTCGCACACTATTTCGATGAGCACCTTTGGCAGCAATTACAGCCTCAAGTCTTTTTGGTATGATGCAACAAGCTTTGGGGGATTTTCCCTGCAAATCCTCTCAAGCTCAGTCAGGTTGGATGGTGACTGTCAGTGGACAGACATTTTCCAGGTTCCTCTAGATAAGTTCAATAGGGTTCAAGTCACTCTAGGACTGTGATGGCGAACCTATCACATGTGTGCCAGAGGGGGCATGCAGAGCCTGTATTGTGGGTACGCGTGCCATCACCAGCTGTTCTTCTGGTTTCCGGTGTATGCATATGTGCTGGCCAGCTGGTGTTTGTGTGCGTTCGAGTGATGGAAACCCAGATCAGCTGGTCAATGCACATGCTTGTCTTCGGATTTTCAGCACTCCAGCATGCACTCAAACATGTACACATTCCAGTTTGACACATTCAGTGTCGAAAAGGTTCATCATCATTGTGTCATCATCATTCACTGCGTTGTCCCCAAGCTACTCCTGTGTTGTCTTGACTGAGTGCTTAGGATTGTTGTCATGTTGGAAAGTGAACCTTCATCCCAGTCAGAGGTCCTGAGCACTGTGGAATTTTCATTGAGGATATTCCTGTACTTTGCTCCATTTAGCTTTCCTTCAACCCTGACCAATCTTCCGGTCCCTGCTATTGAAAAACTGTTGGGATGATATTGGGCAGGTGATGAGTGGTACCTAGTTTCCTACAGACATAAGATTTGTAACTGACACCAAACAGTTAAATCTTGGTTTCATCAGACCAGAGAATCTTGTTCTTCACAGTCTGAGAGTCCTCAGGTGATTTTTTGCAAACACCAAATGGGTTTTCATGTGTTTTGCTCTGAGAAGGGGTGACTGTCTAGCACTCTGCCATAAAGCCCAGATTGGTGGATGGCTGCAGTGATGGTTGTCCTTCTGGAACTTTGTGCCATCTCCACACAGGATCTCTGGAGCTCAGTCACAACCATTGCATTCATGGCCACTTCCCTTACTAATGCCCTTCTGTCCCAATTGCTCAATTTGACAGTTCTTGGAAGAGTCATGGTTGTTCCAAACTTCTTCTATTTGAGAATTATGGAGGCCACTATGCTCTTCAGTGCAGCAGAAATTTTATTTTATTTAGCCTTCCCCAGATCTGGGCTTTGCAAGAATCCCATCTTTGAGTTCTGCAGGCAGTTCCTTTGACCTCATGCCTTTTGCTCTGCTACAGTATACATTGTCAGCTGTGAAGACTTCTATAGAGAGATGTGTGCCTTTCCAAATTGTGTCCAATCAATTTAATTTACCACAGCACTTCAATCCAGTAGTAGAATATCACAGATTGACTACAATCAAGGTATAGAAATATGTCAGCAATTATCAAAAGAAATGGGAGGCACCTGAACTAAATTTCAAGTATTGTTGGAAAGTGTCTTATGCCAGTTATATTATGGTTTTTTCTTCTTTTTAATAGATTTACAGAAATTTCTAAAACCCTGTTTTCAACTTTGTCATTATGGAGCATTGAGTATAGATTCATGAGAAAAATGAATTTCAACAACTGTAGAATCGGTATAAAATTGAACCATATCCATTTTTAGCATTCCTTCACTGTATCTACACATGCACTCTTATCATTTTTCAGGATTTACAATATTTTTTAAATCATTTTTTCCCTGGATATTGAGAAAGATCACTTAGTTTGAATATTTTTGCCCTAAACAGATAACTGGACGAGGTAGCTTAAGAAGTTCCTTTGAATTCTGGGATTCTATGACACTAAATGATATAAGTCTTTTAAAAGTATTACTGATTCTAAATGATTCAAGAGAGTCATTGCATCATAAAGATACATGTCTCTGAAACTTATAAATAAGCTTACTAAGCCAAAACATGTCTTTGTTTTCTTCAGGTTCAAAGTTTATCATGCTATACAACAAGCCATTGAACAAAGTCGGGATTCTATTATACTAATTTTTCGACATGATATTCCTGATTACAAGTTAAAGAATGCTCTTTGTTTACGAAGAGCAATGTTCAAATCTCGTTGTATCTTGGAGTGGCCTGTGCAGAAAGAACGTTTGGATGCCTTTCACCAGCAACTGAAATCAGCACTTCAGTCCAATAGTAGGATAATATAATTTGTTTTAAGAATATTGTATGCATTTCTGGGTAATTCACTCAGTGGTTAAAATACCACACTAAAAATACAATATTGAAAAAGAAGTAAATATAAAACTATTCTTCCAAGATTTTTTCTTCTTCTATCCAAAATATGAGAGTTGTATCCAAACATACAAAATGAATGAGTAGCATTTGGGAACATCAAATGTTTGCTACAAAAGACAAAGTATTTTGGAGGCGAGACCAAAAAATAGGGCATGTACTAAATAAAAATGTAGTTGATTTTAAATCCCAAACTAATCTCTCTCCTTCTCTTCATGTGCTTCATATTGAAGCTTGTCCACCAATCTTTTCAGCAATTTCCTTTCATTGCTTACTCATAGCTGCTCCACTCTGTATTCACTCTATGCCAACCTTTGCCTTACTCACATAATCTCATTTGGGAATCATCCTGCCCACTGGTCTTCACATGACCTACATTTTCCTATTGTGTAGCCACAGTGGGAGGTTGCTATCTTGCCTTTTTCTGACCGTTCAAAACTAGCTGGTCTATACACAGCACAGTTCATGCATAGAACAATTTGCACATTCCCAATACTTTGGTCTCTCTCCACTTTCTTACCCAGAAATAGGAGCTGCAAGTAAGTTAAGCTTTTGTCTTTGCTCCATAATATTACTGGAAAAAAGAAACGTAAAGAGTAGAATCCAAATATCTGATGCACTAGAAAAGGGGGTGTTCTGACCCAGCTCCCCAAACACCTTAACAAGACATCGGATTCCAGTTCATTTATCACTGTATTTGAATTTATGTTCTCAGATATAACTGGTGACCCAAATTGATCCTTCTATAAACACAAGATTCTTTCCATTCATCAGATGAACCAGTCTCCATAACTGTTACATGTAAAATGTTCAGATCCTACATCCATAGCAATAAAAGTCTTCTCCCAGTTTGTTTCTCTTCCTCTTCTAGGAACTAAGAATAAAATACTTTATTATTTTCCACATATTAGAAGATTGTTGAATGTATTTTAATCAACAGCACATATACTTACAAGATTTAGGACTTGATTTAGAAAATATTCAGCTTCTGTTCATGTTGATAATATTTTTAATACAAAATGTATTATCATTCTTATTAATCTGGTTTAGACTAAAGATATTTAATTCAGAACTAGATCAGATTCTGTACTCTGATTCAAGATATGTTTTCATATAAGCAATAATAGAAATATATCCTATTGTTTTGTGATTATTAAATACAAAAATTATTTATAGTATTACAAATAAAATCAGCTGGTACGATGTGAAGTAAAGTGCCAATTTCAAGCATCCTTATTTATGCACAGGATGAAGAATTACTGTTAGGAAATAATATTCTAGAGCCTCTTAAATGTTTTTTAAATGTTAAATTGTGTAACTACAGAAAAACCTGGGATATTAGAAATCATTGGCAGGATCCATTCTGAACAGTTTATCTACAAAGATTGGACATATCCATGGGGAGATGCAGGGTGCATTTTGCAAAGAAACCAGAGACCCGCTGTGACCGCCATTTTGTGAGAGGGCCCACAGCAGGGTCTAAAAATCCTAAGAATACTGTCTGAAACATGGCCATCTATTTCATCAATTACTCCCAGACATCCTCAGCAATATTCTAGGCCTCCTGAGAAATTAACCGACTCTCTTCAGGAGTGGTTTCACATTCAGGTGAGGTGAGCCCTGGAAGGAGGAAGCCGTGGACCTGCGTAAAAGCACCAAGTAAATAAATAAATGCACATATATTACTTGCACACGAAAATGGAAATTACTGCTAAGGAGAAGCTGTCTGTTTGCCAACGCAACCCCAAGGCAGAGCCTTCTCCCAGAAACATTCTCTTTCGGGCAGAAAGAGCGAAGGGCGAAGCAGGTGGAGCTAAATTCTACTCCGGCTTATAGTTTCCTAATGCTCCAAAGGGACGGCTCTTTTAAAGATGCGTCCGCGAGTAAGGAAAAAAAAACAACGTTACGTCCTCGGTCCCCCCTGCGAAATAGGCTAGCTAGTTTGGGCGGTTATTTCCAAAGGCTTCCTCATTCAAAGCATCCGACGGAGACGCAACGATGGAGAGGCCGGTCCACAAGAAGTGGCGTCTCAGAGGCGGGGAGAAGAACACCACCACAAGGCTGCTCTCTCTCTCCCCCCACTTAATCTTTTCCTCTAAACCTGGAAGCGCAGCCACGCGCCCCTCGCTCCCGACAGCGAGCGCGGGCTGCCCGGCGCCCAATGACCTCCTCTCCGCTCGGTTTTTGTTTAGCTTAGCAACCGCCGCTCCCTCCCTCGCGGCAGGCGCCTGGGTACGCAGAAAGGCAGGCCTTCGTAACCCTGGTGGCAGGCTGGCTCTCTCGCGCTCCGTCCCCAGCCGTCTTCGGTGCAGTAGACCCCCAGAAGGGAAGCCCCGTGCTGGCAAAGAGAAAACCACCAAGCCGCCCCAGCCGCGACGCTTCTCTTCTGGCCGCCACGCCTGCCGAAGTCCGTCTTGGCGCCGAGAAGCGGCGGCACCATGAAGGTGGCGGTCCTCGACCTGGCCACCGTCTTCGCAAAACTCTTCAAGCCCACCGCCTCTTCCTCCTCATCGCCCTCTTACTCGCCCGCCCCCGGCGCCCCTCCGCCGAAAGCACAGCCTCTCCTCACTGCCTCGACGTCCCCGTCGGGCGCCCTGTCTTTGCCCGTTCGCTACGCTGCCCTGGCCAGCTCCGGGGGATCCTCTCTAACAAGCGTAGCGGCGGCGGCTCGAGCATTTCCCGGAGGCAGCGGGGTCGGGGCCGCGGCGCCGAAACCTTTGGCAAGTGGCAGCAGCTGCGGTAGTGGAAGCAGCTCTCCGCGCTCGGGTAGGGAGCCCGGGGCTTGGGCCGCGCCCGCGAGCAAACCGCTGCTTTTCGTCACTTTGCCCGACATCGGCGAAGAGGGCGCGCCGGACGTGGATCCCCAGGAAGAAACTGCTGTTCCCAGGCAAGTTGAGGGACCCCCGAATTCCTGGCCCTGCGCGAGAACTTTATAGTGGTTGACTCCTTTCTGAAATGTTGGTCGGCATTAGTCGGTAGAGATTCTCAGTCATCCATGGCTGTCCCAAAGGTGCTTTTTCAGGAGGCATCTGGACTTCCCTGTTTTTTCTTTGAAGACGTTTCGCTTCTCATCCAAGAAGCTTCTTCAGCTCTGACAGGATAGTGGGGAATGGAACTAGTTTACTGGTCGGCATTCATTTACAATCAGGTGCTGAGGAGAATCTTTTCCTATTTATCTAAGGTTCTGATGAGTCCCAGAAAGGAGAGCATTCTCTTTACAGCTGAGAAAGAAGACAGAGGAATTTAGGTATATGTAAACTACTTCACTTGGTATAGTAGATTATCAAAGGTGTCAGATTAAGGCCAGGAGAAATGAGCCCTGATATTTTAGCAACCTGTTTGGGGATCAGTAACAATGATGCACAGTTTTACTCAAATGGTCCAAAAGACCACAAGAGCATCACTGGATAAGTGGTAGTCTTGCTGGTCCTGGTGTTCCATTTACTGTATTGAGATTCAGGCCTCAAAAAGAATCAGGAAATGGAAGAACAATCTGTCATGTTACATCAAACTGAAACTGCATATACAGAACATGCATGTTGGCTTCTAAGTCATAATCCTTGTGGAGCAGGAACCAATATTAGCTAGCTTTCACATTGACATTATTATTAGCGAATTTTGTTTTAAAATCCCTTGATGTTTAAAAAGAGAATATATCATTATTGGCTCAGCAAAGGCATATATCTCGATTTCTTTGAACTAAATTTATGTAGAAAGAAATGACTGTTTAGTGAAAACTTTCTCCCTTCATCAAATCATAATGGATGTAGATTGCAAATTGGTTTCTTATTGTAAAATTAGTGGAAACCAGCCCTTACTGTGAACAAGGAAGACCTGTTGGGTGCAATGATGCATTGTTTTGATTCTCTTTGCTGTGTTTCTTTATGTGTGGAAAACAGATAAGGTTGTCATGGAGATAAAGCAAATTTGGCATTGTTGTGCTGTTCTGGCGATGCTGTAAACTAAACATGTATTACTAAACATGTCTCATTGAACAAAATACAGTTTAGTTATCGATCATTAGTTAGCTTTCTTCAATTGTCTGTGCAGATGTAGATCTTAGCCTGCTACTTTCTTGATGGATAAACTTGTATTTACTTATAGAAAGTTAATTTCTCTATCAAAATAACAACATCATAATGGGCAGGTCCTCTTAGATTCCCAATATTTCTTTTATTGGTTGGGAGATGTAAACTTGGGTAAATACTATAATGGCCCTCGTTTTCCTTGTCTTTTCTTGCTAGTATTTCCCAATCTGAAAAGCCGCATTTATCGCCTCAAGCTCCAAATTATATTTTATTTTATGTTAGAATGGAGTAACAGAGTTGGAAGGGACCGTGGAGGTCTAATCCAACCCCCTGCTTAGGCAGGAAACCTTATACCACTTCAGAAAAATGGATATCCAACATCTTCTTAAACAATTTCCAGTGTTGGAGTGTTCACAACCTCTGGGGCAAGTTGTCCCAGTGATTGTTTTAACTGTTAGGAAATTTCTCCTTAATTCTAAGTTGTTTCTCTCCTTGATTAGTTTCCATCAATTGCTTCTTTTCTTACCCTTATTCTTCTGCTTTGCAAAATAGCTTGACTCCCTCTTCTTTGTGGCAATCCCTAAGATATTGGTATCTTAGGGGCTGCCACATGCTATCATGTCACCCCTAGTTCTTCTTTTCATTAAGCTAGATATAGGCAGTTCCTGCAACCGTCTTTATATGTTTTAGCCTTCAGTCCTCTTCTCTGAATTCTTTCTAGAGTCTCAACATCTTATTTACATAATGGCAAACAAAACTGGATGCAGTGTTTCCATTATCGTTTAGTGGGGTAAAGGTTTACAGTTTTCCTGTTGTTCATCAAAGTAGGATTTGAATGGTCACATTACAATGTCATATTGCATAATTCAAGGAATGACATTTCAGACAAAACATAAAACGGGCAACTCTCTACAAGTTCTACAGGGCTAGCTGTATTCCGGTTTCATAACAGCCTAACAATACTGCAACCCTTTAGAAGTGCCAGAATACCCATAGAAACTATAAGTGTGAACTCTCTTCTATGTCATTACAAATTGAAGGCTGAGAGAAAGTAGGCTTGGTAGTGAGTCAGGTTCTTCCATCAGTAAAGAAGCTAAGGGCAGAAGACATGCATGTCGATATGCATTCCTCTTGGGGTGGGGGTGGGTGGGAGAGAGAGACTCTTTGTTTCCAAAAGTTTCTGAATACTGTACTGGTTGAATTGCAACTGCTGGTGTATGAGCACTGTGTATTATTATTAGACAGGGAAATTTCTGTTTCAGTATTTGAGGTCAATGAAATTGAACATGAACTGCCAATTTTTTCCCCCCAGGATTTGTTTTCATCAGACAGATATAATAATTTTTCAGCTGTTGTTCAGAACCCCACTAAACAGATCCTTAACACATTTGAATCAATCAAGAATTTTCACCAGATTTATAAATAAGTTATTTACTTAGGATTCAAAGCGAAAAAAAAATATTTTGCACTTTTTAATTTGCTGAACTTTGTTATCAATTTGGATTAAAATTTAATACTAACATAAGAACTTCAAACTCTACCAATTTCAGATTAATACTTTAGAAGGTCTAATTTGATGCTAATAACTTCAGATTTTTTCCCTGATTAAAAAAATCACTATTTTGTCTTTTAATTTTGAAAAAAGTGGTGATGATTGATCTTAATAATTTTAGAATGAGATGGAACTTCTTACATCTGTTGTAAATAAATTGTTGTTACCTGTTTTTTAAGATTATAAAAAGAAATCTGAGAGTTGAAGTTAATGCATCTTAAAAGTGTCAAAGTTGAGAAATATTGGTCTGGTTCAATTAATTTTGAATACATTTGTCTGATATTTTTCATATCTCTATGAACATCTCATTCTGATGATTTTTAGAATAAAGTGGATTGTAATTTATGGGATTGCTTTTATATACTCAAGTAAATTAGGGTTGTAATTTTTTAAAAAAAAAATCATTTACTAGGAAGCAAGCTGCTGACTTTGTTCCTTATCTATCTGTACCCTTCTAGATGTCTTCTCTTTATCCATCTAGTTCACCTTTGGCTATTGCTGGACACATTGCCAACAAACCACTGCTTTGCTGCGTCTTGCCACCATTTATAATTTCTAAGAAAGTCTGCCAGAATAGTGCAGAGGCAGCCTTAAGATGAAATTTATATGTTCTGAACAGGAAAATATT